CCGTTAAGCGTAGCACTGCGGAACCCGTGGCCATCCCAGGTTGTGACGACGACCCGGCGACAAAAAAGAAAATTCCATGAATACAAGCAGAAAATAAAAGAATTTCATCGTTTTTCTTTGGTGGCAGGAGTAGCTTAGCGGAAAATGGACTGGATGACCCGGGAAGTGGGGTATCCGTTCGTAATTGGTCCGTAAAAGGCACCAAATGGGGGACAGATGGAGGGGGGGGCGCCCGAATCGATTTGATAAACATCGGAAAGGAATGCCCTGGGGCAAATGTCATCACTAATACGTTTTAAATGTTCCAAAAATCTCAACAACCTAAATCGAACTCCGCGGAATCTAGGAAAAAAACTTTACTGAGAGACACAAGCAGGGGCGTACACGAACCCGATTTTTGGGGGGGCGGGGCAACTCGAAAATTTTTTGTCTTTGGGGGGCAACTTGCCCCTGTTGCCCATTATCTGTTTTTCATCAGGTTTTCTTCGGCACAACCATTCGAATATTAGGTGAAAATGAACCGGCAAGCGTTCTATGCTTTTAGAATTTTTTCTTGATAAAAATCATCAAATAACCGTTGATTTCAACATTTTTTGTAACCCAATGACGCCCGCGATATTAAGCGAAATTAGGGATTCAACGGTTTCAACCAGTTCAGAGACCTGGCAATGCCCTCGAAAATTGTTTTTACAAGAATTTTAGGGTGTTTTTCATGCCATTTCATGCCATTTTTGGAACATTTAAAACGTATTAGTGATGACATTTGCCCCAGGGCATTCCTTTCCGATGTTTATCAAATCGATTCGGGCGCCCCCCCCCTCCATCTGTCCCCCATTTGGTGCCTTTTACGGACCAATTACGAACGGATACCCCACTTCCCGGGTCATCCAGTCCATTTTCCGCTAAGCTACTCCTGCCACCAAAGAAAAACGATGAAATTCTTTTATTTTCTGCTTGTATTCATGGAATTTTCTTTTTGTCGCCGGGTCGTCGTCACAACCTGGGATGGCCACGGGTTCCGCAGTGCTACGCTTAACGGTTCGTACCGTGGCTGATCGTAAATATTGTCGTTTGTAGCCTACAACTCGTTAAATAGCGGAAATTCCCGGATGGGCAGCCTGGTCGAGGGGCTGTCAACGTGTGAGCGGTTGCAGGTGGGTGGGTGTACTATGTAACGGCCTGTTCCGTTACGCGTCCAATTACATTGCGTAATGGATACATTGCTTGGCCCCTCGGAATTAGTACATTTGCGTACTCCTTGGGCCGGGCTACGGTAATGTGACCCGGGAACGGTTTCGTAATATGAATTCGGCTAATCAGTAATATACATTGCGTAATCGGATCTTAGAAAGTTTGTGAGGAGTACGGTTTCGTACTCGATTCCGTTTGTCCAGAATTACTGGAGTAGTTTGATTCACAAGGCTTAGGAAAACGTATCACCGCGTATTGTAGCGTACTGGCATGCGTAATCAGCTCCTGGCCTCGAGTATTGTTGCGTACCGCCGCGCGTACTGCGCCGTACTACGTTAAGCGTCAAATTATGTACCGTAATCCGATTTCTCAGGCTGCGTAGTGGATTCAAATCGTACTGCTGCGTATTGCGGTTTTCAAAACCGTTTCTAACGGAATTACACTGCGTAGTCGAAACTTACAGCGTTTGTAAGGAGTACGGTTGCGTACTCGATTTCCTTTGACCAGAATTTACTGGGCTAGTTTGATTTATACAGCTTAGGAACACGTATTGTCGCGTAGTTTAGCGCTTTGGCATATTCTAGGCCGTTTCAAACCGAATTACATTGCGTAATCGAATCTTAGAACGTTCTTAGGAAGTACGGTTGGGTACGCGTTTCCATTTGACCTATTATCTACAATAATCCTATTTCTAAGGCTTAATGAAACGTACTGCCACGTAGTATAGCGTATTTATTGCGGTATTCAGGGCCATTTCCCGACGGATTACATTGCGTAATCAGTTCCTGGCCTCGAGTATTGATGCGTACCGCGGTACGTACTGCGCCGTACTACGCTATGCGTGAAATTACATAGGCCGTCGCGTACCGAATTACATTGCATAATTAGAGCCTGGCCTTGATGACTGCCGCGTACATTCGCGTTCTAATCACCCCTTACAGTGCGACACGACGGTGGGTTACGGTGGGTCGCCAGACGAGAGCGGCGAGACGACCCTTGATGCCCTGCTCATCGACGGGTAGGCCCTTGACTTTGAAGGCCTCCCCCGCTTGCTGTCACGCTCCCTTTAAAACCTTGCCATTGGCTTCCAGACCTGGGCATCGGATGGCAGCCGTCGCCCAACTGCGCCGCGTACGCGACGCGGCACGCGTCGCCTGGGCTGTGATGAACCACACGCAGCACACGATGATTGTTGGGGAGCAGGGTGAGAGAGTTGGCGATTGGTAGGCTAGCAGAGATCATTGAGGAGTCGGGGCAGGCTAGCGGAGAGCCTTGAGGAGCATCATTTGCAGCCACCCGCTTCGCGCTCCAGATGGGTTTCAAGGAAGAGAACCTGACCACGCCGGCCTCACTGCTGATGATGGACGTGTGGAGGCGGAATAATTGTCAGCCGAATTTTTGGAAGGTTAGTTTTTCTCACCGATCTCCGCTAGCCTGCTCTCGGTTCCTCAATGATCTCTGTCAGCCCGCCTCGCTTCCTCAACGATTTTTAGAACGTGAACCCAACCCCTACCAAAAGTTGTGGACCGTACCAGCCTGCGTCCGCTACGGAAAACCTCGAAAAAATGGTGCTATCAAATCGGATCATCGATCGGTGGGTGTTCAGGCCCCGGCGACGGGTTTAAGCTTAGGCTTAGGCTAGGCTTTGCGCATCGCAGATTCAAAAGCTGACAATTTCCATGGCCAATCGCTGCCTTTTCCAGTTTCCACCACGACACCATCGGCATGGTGGTGATCGACGACAGCGGCGAGGTTTCAGCCGGAACATCGACCAATGGTGCCCGGTACAAGGTGGGTTTCCCTTGTTCACTTTTTGTCACTTTTACAATGTTGTGAGCACCGTAACGAGTAGTGCCACGTACTACGACAGCCCGGCTATAAAATTTATCGAGTTTCGCGTTTGGAATTGATGATCATCATGGTATTTAACGGGATGTGTTCGGTAAGGGTTGAGCGGAGGAGGAGGAGCTCGAGCAGGAGGCGGGGCTAGGGCTGCTGCGGCTTCTCCAGCTGCACGTCCAGGTCGACGTTCACCGGCTTGTTCTGCCCGAGGTCCTTGCCGTCGAAGAGGAACTGGAATTGAAGGCTGGGCTTAGGCTTAAGCTTAGCTTAGGCTTAGCTTAGGCTTATTAGGCTTAGCTTAGGCCACAGGCTTTGGTATCGGCTTAGGCATGAGCTTAGGCTTAGCCTTAGTCTTAGGTTAATCAGGCTTAGGCTTAAGCTTAGCCTAACGCTTCCCACCTCAAACTCCCAAAGCCCGGTGCGGCTCGGCGGCAACTCGCCGACGTCGAGCTCGAACGGCTCCGACTTGGGCCCCTCAGAAGCTGAAAGCCCCAGAATTTCAATTCCTCTCTTTCTTCCCCACAAGAACGGCAGGGCAGGATGACCGACGTGTTCGGGGAGGACAACATGAAATTGACCGGGGACACTGAAAAACACCGGGTTGAATAATCGCGGGCAGCGCGACGTACTCGAGCTGGTCGGCTTGGCCTTTTCGGGGGATTGGCCGCCGGGCAGGCGATTGGGATTCGGCTGCCAGTAGCTGTTCATCGACCCGGTGTCCTGCTCGAAGCCGCTGGTCACGCCGAACCGGTCGGGCATCTCGAGGGCCTGGCCGGTGGCTCTGAACAGCTAATGAACATACCACAGTTTATACCCTACCTGAAGTAGAACTCGACCGTCTCCCTCAGCCGCTGAGCAAAGTCATCCAGCTGCCGGAGGGGGATGTTGGCGATGGGGAGCAGTTCAGCGACGTCGCGCAGTTCGGCCAAGGAGAGGCGCTCAATCTCGAGACGGTCGACGAGGTGGGAGATGACCTGAAAGCCAGGATTCCGAGGTCGAACTGCTCGAACCCGTCGGCCATCCCCAAAGACGTTCTGGTGGGCCCAGACGATGGTCGCCTTGAAGAGGGAGGCCCAGGGGACACGGAACAGGGGGTGGGTCCAAGGGGCGTCGGCCAGGGCCCAGTCGATCATCGCCTAGAGAGGGGGTCGAACTTGGGCTCTGTACCGATATAAGGGATTTCTGCCGATATAAGGGATCACTGCCGATATAAAGGATCACCGCCGATATAAGGGATCACTGCCGATAAAAGGGATCACCGCCGATATAAGGGATCACCGCCGATATAAGGGATCGGGAAAAAAAACCCCGAAAATGGCGGGTACCGATATAAGGGATCACGAAACCGGATTTCGGCCAAAATGTCGATATAAGGGATCAGAAGAAGGATTTTGCGCGATATATTATTACATTGATGTAAAGAGCTATTTATTTAGGTCGATTTCGAAAGAAATTACAGAGAAGTTGATAAAAGCCAGGTTTTACGGAAGTATTATTCGATTTTCGGTAGACTGGTGGGGGCCGGAAGGAAGCTGATTGGAACGCCGAAGAATTGATGGCAGAGGCCGTACTAAAGCAGATAGAGGTTAGGGATCGAAATAGCTGCATCACCGAGTTAGTCCATTGGTTTAAATACCAGTCCAATAAGTCCTGGCAGAGGTTAACGCGGGAGTCGCAGAAAACTAAATAAGGTGGATGAGGGAAAAGGAAAGGCGGAGGTACCACGATCACAAACTGGCAAAGGCATCGGACTGAATAATACTTCCGTAAAACATTAGTTTTTATCAACTTCTCTGTAATTTCTTTCGAAATCGACCTAAATAAATAGCTCTTTACATCAATGTAATAATATATCGCGCAAAATCCTTCTTCTGATCCCTGATATCGACATTTTGCCCGAAATCCGGTTTCGTGATCCCTTATATCGGTACCCGCCATTTTCGGGTTTTTTTCCGATCCCTTATATCGGCGGTGATCCCTTATATCGGCGGTGATCCCTTTTATCGGCAGTGATCCCTTATATCGACGGTCCGAGGCCCTGATCCCTTATATCGGCGGTGATCCCTTATATCGGCAGAAATCCCTTATATCGGTACAGAGCCCGAACTTGTTGAACTTGTCGCTAGGTCGACAGATCTTTGAAAACCCGCTACCCACCATCATCGACCTCCTGCTCAGCGCGTGAAAGCTGGGGATATGCACGTAGCTGACGAGCTGCCCGATGCACTCCTGAAGCTCATGATCATCTACAACGTCAGCCTGTCCACCTTGAAGATGCGGTAAGCCACGTCATCCTGGACATTAGCATGGCCGGCCATCTCGAGCGCGATCATGGCCGTCTCGGGGCCGTGCGCCATCAGCTCGATCTGCTTCTCCATCTCAATGCACAGCTCGGCGACGCCGAGCACATGGGCGGTGGCGAGCACTTTGTCGAGCTGGAAAAGTGGGGGTCGTCGACTTGAAGATGTACAACTACCATCTCATGCACGATGAAGATCTCGCGGCCGGCGATGAAGTCAAAGACCATGCGCAGCGACTTGTCGCAGACGAGCGGCTGCTCGGCGACGAGCTGCTCGAGGGCGTCGGGTTCGGCTGAAGAGGGTGAAATGATTAGGCTTAGCTTCGGCTTAGGCATGACTTGGGCTCGGCTCGGCTTAGCTTCGGCTTCGGCTTGGCTTATGCTTAGCTTTAAGCTTATCGGCGAAGTCGGTCAGAACCCACCACCGATCAACTTTTGCAGCTTTTGGCTGTGGGCGAGGACGTCCGCCAGGTCGAGGGTGTGTTTGGAGTCGCCGTAGATGAACGCGACGTCGCCGAGGCGTTCACGCGAGTCGCGCTGAAATTTGCATATTCAAAAACGAATCTCGAAATTACCTGACGTGTCGACGAGACGGCGAACCCGTCTTCGAGTTCCATTTTGTTGGGGGAAAGTTGTGAAATGCGGGCGAAAAATTGGGTTTTATACCGGGTTACTGTAACTTCCGATGTGCCGGTATGTAAATTTAATTTTATCGATTATATGGATTCAAATTGATGTTAGAAAGAAAGTTTTAGTAAGAGAGCGTAGGCTATGATTAGGCTTCGACTTCTGCTTCTGCTTCGGCTTAGGTTTAGGGTTAGGGTTAGGCTTAAACTGGGTCTAGGTCCAGGTCTCGACTTAAGCTTAGGCAGGCTTAAGCTTTGGCTTAGACTTGGACTTAGGTTTAGGCTCAGGCTTAGGCTTACCGAAACCCGGAACCAAGCCCCAATTTCAGATCCCGGGCCGCGTAGGCGATTCCTCCCTTCCCGGCTCTGGTGCGTACCTCTGGCAGGGCATCGGTGGAGCGTCAGCTACTGGAGATGGAGACGTCCTGATGCGGTTTTTGCCCAGGTACAGAGGCCAATGAGCACAACCTCCTCTTTCAGCTACCAAACCGTCGAGTGGATGCGGCAGGGCTTATCCCCGCGTGAAGCCGCGCAGAAGTCGCTTGCCCGAATCGCCGAGTTTTATCCGGGGTTTCAGGGAGCTGTCGTAGCAGCTAATGTGAAGGTATTTGGAAATACAGGTCTAATGAACTCTGCTAGCCAGCCCTCGATTCCTCAATGATCTCTGCTAGCTTGCTTGCTCCAATTTCCATTTCAGGGCGAACACGGTGCCGGTTGTGCGGGTCTACCCTCGTTCACCTACTCGCATATGGAAGCGGGGGACACCGTCACGCAGACAACTACCGTACCCTGTATTTAAACTTCTAATTTTTTCGTTCTTACAAAATAATAAAACTTAGAAATAAATGTTGCTGTTCAATTTAAAAGTCCTTATAAGAAATTAGTATTAATCAAAAATCTTCCACTTTTAAAAACTTTTTTGTATTCCAAAAAACCATTTTCAATTTTCTCTCTTTCAAGGTTGTTTTCTGCACCCAAAATTCCCAATTTTTGCACTCGAAAACTTCAAAAATTCACCCACCAATTAACCGCCCCACACGAACCCGTGATTTTCCCAAAAAATGGGAAGAAAAAATTGAAAATTAGCGTTTCCCAGGGGAATCATGCTATCCCGTAATTTTCGATTCATTGCGGGAGACATCGGTCAGCTACCGTACTCCAAAAAATATCGAATAACACCAAATAACACTCGAGTTTTCACGTCAACAAGTTTATCATGGACTGTCGGGGGTAGAAGGAGTACATAGGATCAGGCTTAGGCTTAGGCTTAGGCTTAACACGGAGATCGCTAGGTGTAGTTTGTAGTCGCGCGTCATCTTGGAGATCATGAGATGCGATTCATCACCGCTTCAACATGTACCAGTCGGCCGTCAGTGGTGCGCTGTTGGGGTATGAGGGCCACTTGACTGCCTACGGTAGTCATGCTCCCCATCGGGACGAGGGCGTACTGTTGCGGAATGGGGTTGGAGATCGGGGACATCTGAAAGAAAAGTATCAATCTGTTTCTCTCCCTCTCTCTCTCTCCCCCTCTCTCTCTCTCTCTCTCTCTCCCTCTCTCTCTCTCTCTCGCTTTCTCTGCCTCTCACTATAACATCACTAACACTAACCTGCATCACCATCTGTTGCTGACCACCATGGGCACAGTTGCAGTTCGTAGTCTGCAGCAAGTTCGGCTGCAGGGCGAGCGGCTGGGCGTAGTTCACTTGCTGAACCTGCTGAATTTGAGGGCCGAGGTCAAGCGGTTGTACCTGCTGGCACTGCTGTACCGGCTGGAACTGCTGGAACTGCTGAACCTGTTGGTGCTGTTGAACCTGCTGAACCTGTTGGACTTGCTGGAACTGCTGAACCGGCTGAACGTATAGAATTTTAAGAGCCGGGTAAACCTGAAATACCTGCTGGAACGATTGAACCGGTTGAACTGGCTGAAGGGGTGGGGCTGACGGTTGGGCGGCGGGAACCGGTAATTGTGGCTAAATAGGAAGATCTTAAGACCTTAAGAATACCTATGTATAATAACATAAGCTTTTTCAACTGTAATTCTTTATCATGGTCTAAAAATCTGGCTAAAGCTAGCGCATTCAGCATGAAAACTGCCTTCCCAGGTGGCCTTTAACGTCAGACATCCCCTGGGCTGATTTCGGAAACTTTTGGCCCCTGATTTTCCGAAATCTGTTGTATAATCGAGGGATAGTAGATAAAACTGAGGCAGAAGCTTGAAGTTATCCTTAAAAAATGAAACTCCTCTTCTGGCTGTTCTTCTCCGTGGCCCTGGTCATCACCGAGGCTCACCTTTTGCCGGTAATGGTTTGAAAGACTCATTTTGTTATTGAACAAAAGCGAGAGAGAGAGAGAGAGAGAGAGAGCGAGAGAGAGAGAGGGTGAGAAACCCAGGGCGAGCGAGTGAGCCTGCGAGAGAGATCAACTTCCAGATCTGCATGGGAGAAAGGTATCGGTGTAATGGAGTCTGCATCCCGGATGATGAGCCCTGCGACGAACTGGTCGAGGTGAATGGACGTATAGTAAGTTTCTCTCTCTCTCTCTCTCTCTCTTGCTTGCTCTTCCTCTCTCTATCTCTCTCTCACTCCATTTTCAGGAAATTCTCGGCCGCCACTGTTCGTACCCCCGTATTATGTGCCACGGGGAATGCAGATTCGATTGCAGGAAGCCAAAATGAGAAATTCGATAAATCGTCGCGAATCTACATAAAAATTCACCTGCATAACGGTCTCGACCGGCATCTGTTTCATGTATTCCACCGTAGCTTGCGCTGTTTTCTAGAAAAAAAATTTGTGAAATACATTGACATGATGAGTACCGTTTTCTTATCACCCCATTGGCAGCAGAAAACGACCCTCCGGAAGGTGGGGAGCAGGATGAAGCTGGCCACGACGAACAGGCAGCGGAACACGTCTTGGTTGCAATATAGCTACAATCCCATAATGAGTACAGCAACGTACTACAAGTCTGCGATCAGTATCTGATGGACATTACTGTACTCTGCTTTTCCTAAAGTAGTGTGTTCTACGAATTACTGTAGATTGTGAAGTACGGTAGTGAGGGAGGCATACGACCGGAGAATTACGTAATTAGTAGTGTGACTTACTCTTCGTGGATATGTCATTAGCAAAGTAGCGTACTTTAGAGGTAAGTGTACACGACATATCGTATTTTGTGAGATACCGTAAACTTTCAGCTACAGTACACCCCGGGACCCGTTATTCGTAAGTATCGTACTCTGAACGTAGGCTTAGACTTATTGTTAGCAGTGCGGACTGCCTGCAGTAAGTTGGAATTTGTACACTAGCGCACTACCAGGTATGCCGTTAGAAAAAGACTCCATTCTATCTAACGTAACCCGTGGAACTCGCCACTTGGAAAGATCGTACTTTCGAAACTTTGCTTGAAATTCTGTTGCTTGTATTTTATCGGAACCGGGAACTTTCGCCAATTGGAAAGTACCGTACCTAGTATACTACAGTACTCACCACTCCCACCCAATTATAACGAAAATACCGGGCGCCGATCGAGTACAGGAAGTACGTGTTGTTGTAGTAGTTCGTACGCCATCTACAGGTCCCGAATTTCGAAACGTGAAACTCCAATTTACTCACGCCAAGAACTTGTAGTCGAAGATGTACGTGCGGTAAGTGATCATCTCGAAGACGCGCTCGATGGAGAGGCCTGAATCTCGGAAAATACGCGAAAAATTGGGGAAATTACAGTAAGTTGGGAGGAGCGGGAAGTTTGTGACGGCGAGGAAAATAATTATCCATAGGAGACGTCGCTTGGCATACTGTACGCTCGAGGAATCATCAGAATTTGCGTCCGGGGAGTGGCCACAGCAGCAGATGCATGGGGACTGGAAAGGTTGGTGAAATTGGCGGCTCTCTCTCAAGTTTTCACCCGCTCTCTGTCACTATCTCTGTCTCTCTCCCTTTCTCTCTCTCTCTGTCTCGCTATGTGAGAAAGACATAGAGAGATACAGAGCGAAACAGCGATCGAGAGAGAGTGTGTGATCGAGAGATAGAGAGAGAGCGAGAGAGATAGAGACATAGAGACAGAGAGAGCGCGAAAGAGGGAGAGCCAGAGCGAGAGAGAGACAGGGCGAGTAGCTTGAGAGAGAGGAGAGAGAGTGAGATCGAACGAGAGAGAGAGAGCGAGAGAGAGAGAGAAACAGAGATAAGGCTATTGATATACAAACCCACAAATAAAATCAAAATCCCGGTGACGAGATTCGATAGGATGACCCAGCCATGACCGACAAGCGCAGCGTAAGTTAATACCGGTGATACTCCATCGAAAACGGTTGATATCAGAACGATTGATAGGGCGATCGACAGGCCAATGGCAATGAAATACAGTATCCTAAAATAAACGTCTTTTAAAGGCACAGCTGCAACAAAAAATATGGATTTTGATCGGGCAAGAGGGCGTCGAAAAATATAATAGTGAAACCCGACAAATTGATTTTAAATGGAGTGTGACAGCTCGAATTTGAGTTTTCTTACCCAGCTCCACACTTTTGACGAGTGTCGATAGTTCGTATTATGGAAAATAGATGGATTGGGGTAACGGCCATGTAGATAAATGGGACCGCTTGTTGGAGCGCCGTTTTGGCGAGGAACAACCAGTACGAACTAGAAATGGAGGTGTTAGAGATAGAGAAAGAGAAAGAGCAAGAGAGAGAGAGAGAGGGGGAGACGGAGAGCGACCGGCTTACACGTTGATCCTAGGCAAAAGCCAGCCAATAAGGAGCTGCAACCAATAAATTAGGCATGACAGAAAACTCGTGATCGCGACGGGAGCGGTGTAGGAGGCTTGGCTGGCGTCTAAATAGGCTTAGGCTTCGGCGTGGGCTCATGCTTAAACTTAGGCTTAGGTTTAGCTCTGCGCTTAGGCTTAGGCTTAGGTTTGACTTCGGCCTAGACTTCAGTTTAGGCTTGGTTTAAGCAGGATTAGGGTTGCCTAGGCATGGTTTTCGTTTCGGCTTTGCTGAGGCTTGGCTTAGACCAAGGCTTGGCTTATGCTAAGCTTTTGTTTAGGCTTGAGCTTATGCTTAGGCTTAGATTTCGTCTAGGCTTCGCTTAAGCTTAGTCTAGGCCTAGGCTTAGGCTTAGGCCTAGACTTAGACTTAGAGTTAGGCTTAGGTTTGGCTTGGGCTTGGCTTAGATTTAGGCTTAGCCTAGTCTCAGGTTTACTCCTCCTCACCTGCTCCCCACACAAAAATCACGTACAGTAACCCGATAATCGACTCAACAACCAGGTATATGATTTCAGTTGTCCAGTCTAAACATCATTTTCAGGGCTCCTATATTCGACACAAACTTGAATAAATATATCCGCTGTAATTCTGGATATACACGGAATTCGTGCCGACGACCTGCCCCATTACAGTCTTCGGGTCCAGTCGTGACAACTGCGTGTCGTAGAAGATCTGATAGGTCAGGAACTCGTAGTAATCCATTGTTGCCTACGTTTCGCCCAAGTTTCGGCCTGAAATTGGAGGGTAAAGGAAGCCGGAAGAGGAAGATACTGTAATTTTGAAGAAGACCATGAAGAGTCAAAAAGCGGGAGCTCGCAGAGGTCGTTTAGCAATTTTTGAAAAGGGCGGGTAGATGCTAGCAGAGTTCCTTTCAAAATGCTTAATGGTCTGGGTGGCAAGCTAGCAGGGGTACCGCCAGTTCGCCTAATCCTTTCGCCTAAACCGCTTCGCCTAAACCCATATCGCCTAAAACCCGTTTCGAAAACCCATTTAGCCAAAGCCCATATCGCCAAAACCCGTTTCGCCAAACCCATTTCGCAAATTATTGACCGTTTGCACTGCTGCATTTTGACAAAAAATCACAATTTTCAGAGATACTTGTAAGTGTTAGGATTTTCTAAACATATTTGCAAATTTCTTGAACCACGTTATGAAGCCAATTACATAACTTTAAGAGTTCAGGGGTCTCTTTAAAATCTTACGAAACTATTATAAGTCGAAAATTGCCGACTTTTGGAAATTATATATGAAAAGAAAAATTTAGGGAAATGGGTTTAGGCGAACGGTTTTAGGCGATATGGGCTTTAGGCGGGGTTGGGGGGGGGGTGGTGGTTTGTGGCGAACGGTTTTAGGCGATATGGTTTAGGCGAAACGGGTTTAGGCGAAGTGACCGGAAATCAGCTAGCAGAGCTCATTTGAGAATGTTGTGACGGCCCAAGTGGCAAGCTAGCAGAGAACGTCTGAGAATTTCTGGTGGCCTAGGTCGCTAGTTAGCACAGATGATTTGAGAATTTTGCGCGTGGATGGCAAGCTAGCAGAGATCATTCCGGACTCCGCTTTCGAAGCTTTCGAATTTTGTTAGCTAGGATATGCTTAGAGGCGGTTTCAAAATTCATAAAATTTTAAGTTTTTAAAAAGTGTAAAAAATTTTTGAACTTGCTGAAATTTTTAAATTCAATAATTAATTAATAACAAAAGCCACCAGACTTACTTATATCGCGAGCTAGCAGAGATTATTTGGGAAAGATTCTAGAAAAATCTAGGCTCAATCTATCCCTTTTTTTTGATTACCGGAAGGATTACGGTAGGGTTTTTCAAACCCCCTAAAACCTGCAAACTCGCATCCAAGGCATACTGTAGCCACTCGCAACGCACCGACTTTTCCTAACCCTTATAAGATTTCAATAATCCCAAAATAACTCCTCCAGGGCCAGCGGCATCCTTCAAAAGACGTCAATGGGGGGCAGAAATGACAATTCTTCAATCCCCACCCCGGGTCCAGCGGCCAACATTCCCCTCAAAAATGATTTGATTACGGGGTTCCCGCTGCCCAGTTTTCTTTTGCGCAAACGGGAAATTATCGGAAATTACCGCCCCGGCGGGATTGACAACAATTTTTGGGCGTTTTTTGGAAGTTATTCCCACACCGCCGGCCGCTGTGGGACCCGCCATTTTGGAGGGCCACAAATTAGGGGACTAGAATAGAGGGGCCGTTTCAAAATGTTTGACGTTCGAAAGTGAGGAGTGAGTCAGAGCTTTGACGCATTTTAAAGGTGAAGAAAGTGGAATTGGTGGCTACCGTAAACCTGAGTACGATGCGAAACTAGGTTACAGACGGAATGGACGTATCCTAAATACGAAAAATCTCAAAACGGATTCGTGCTCAGCTCGAACTTCTGCAAGAGATGGGCTTGGTCCGTCGATTTTACGATCGGTGCATCGTAACAATCCGTAGCCCCGTACATAGGAATACCGTAATCCCGTAAGTATCGTATTACCGTAGGGTACCGTAGCCCCACGAGTATCGTAGTGCCGTAGCGTACGATAGTACAGTAAGTAGCTTGATACTCACACGTACCCTTTACCGATCAGTACCGTATTACCGTAGCGAAGCGTAGCCCTGTCAATCTCGTAGTACATTAATCTTGCGAGTACCGTATTAGCGTAGCGTACCTACCCCGAAAGTAGCGTAGAGCCGTGGCGTGGAGTAAGTCCACTATAATCTAGTATTCTTAATACCGCCTCGTATTACTCTGGCGTACTGCAGCCCCGGAAGTAGCGTAGTATGTGGCGAACCCTAGTCCAGTCGGTATCATATTACCGTAGCGAACCGTAGCCTCGAAAGCATCGTATTACCTTAGCGTACGACAGTACATTAAGTCGTGTGATAGCCCGGTATCGTAGTACCGTAGCGAACGGTTGCCTCGTAAGCATCGCAGTGCCGTAGCGTAGCGTAGCTCCGTAGGGCTCGTATTACCGTAACCCCGTAATTATCGTAGCACGCTAGCTTGTCATATTCCCGTAATTGACGCAGTACAGTACCTCATATCAGATTCGAAAAGCTAGGGACTGTTCTACCCCTCCGGAAATCCCCCATCCATTCCATAATTTACATTTCAGAAATTTGAATTATTGTGGGATATTTCTGATGCTTGTTTTTCTCAAAATCATCCATCTATCGCTTCTCCCCGTCTTCCCTTTGATGGACGCCGTCGAGCTGAAGACGTACCTCGAGACGAGTCGGTGTATCAGATAACTTTCTTCATCGTAAAAAATCAAGAAGCTAAAATTCATCCCAATTTTCTAATTTCCAGTCCTGGTGGGCATGGCCGAGCTGCGCACCGAGCAGTGCCAGATTCGCAGCGACATCAGCAAGTTGAGGTGAGAGCGAGAGAGAGAGAGAGAGACGGGAGAGAGCGAGAGCGAGAGAGAGCGAGAGGGAGAAAGAGAGACAGGGAGCGAGAGAGCGAGCGAGATAGCAACTGTTTTCTACGTTTAGATGCGAGCTGAAGGATCTGTGGCTTCAAGTCGCCAAAGACATCAGCAACAGGGACAGCAAAGAGGCGTAAGACACTTTTGATCGTTTTCGCGTTTTTCCGCAAAGAGTCTCTGCTAGCTAGCTTCTTCTTGGTTTTAAAGGCCGAATGAAGACGTGGTTAGCGTATTTTACCTTGTAAATGCCCATAAAGCCTTGTTCCAGGGCCATCGAGATCTCGGGCACCAACAAGGAGAGCTGCGCCTGAAGCTCCGCCCCTCGCCGCCACTTCAACGGCCCTTTAAACCTTAAATTAATCGAAGATGCGACGGATATCGATCGATACTTTGCGTGTGTGGTGTTGTGGTTTCAATAAATGATTTTGATATTTGTCTGTGCAAAAACCAGCTTGGGCCTAGGCTTGGCTTAGGCTTGGGCTTCGATTTAGGTTAGCTTCGGCTCCGACCTCGGTTTAGTCGTAGGCCTAGGGTTGAGCTTAGGCTTGGGCCTAGGTTTAATCTAAGGCTTAGGCTTGGGCTTAAGCTCAAGGTTATGCTTAGGTTAGGCTAGGCTAAAGCTTAGCTTTTAGGTTAGGCTAGGACTTCGCTCATGTCTGATGATCTGCATTTTCTCGTCGTCTTTTCTGCAACAACAACTCCTTTATCTCGCGGCGCCGGTGATGGTGTTCACAAGTATTCGGGAAAATGGAGAGAAAAACCGGGAAAACAGGTAATGTCTTAGCGGGAATGAGATCTTTAAAGAGACAGGGGGAGGGCGTTTGTGGAGGGTGATATGTACACAGGTGGATGGTCGCGGAAATCGAGGAAATCAGGAAATCAGAAGTCAGCGCAAAAATCGATAATTTCGGGAGGCACACACCGGGGTCTCGAAGCGGGAGAGAGGGGGGGGACTAGAATATATGTTTTTGGTGGTTTTTTTCGGGATAAAGGAGGTGGTTGGGCTTAGGCTTCGGCTTAGGCTTAGGCTTGGGCTTGGGCTTAAGCTTGGCTTAGGTTTAGGTGCGGCTTAGGCATTGACTTAAGCTTAAACCCTGGTTCCACCTGAAAAATGACAATTACGAAAAATTGCGTTGATATGGCGTTGCACTCTTTGAACTGCAAAAAGTCCTGGAAGCGGATTTGGGGAGAGGGAGGGTGTTCATTGGATGGATGCGTACATACAGCGGAATGTGGAGGGCGAGAGAAATAGAGAGAGAGCGAGAGAGAGAGAGAGAGAGGGGTGAGAGAAGCCATAAGCTCTCCTTAAAGCGATCGATAATTATGTGTGAAACGGTGTGGTGAGTCTGGAGTTGCCGTAGCGTGGCGTAGCGTGGCGTAGTGTGGCGTAGTGGTGCGTAGTCTATCACATCTGCTGGGAGGCTCCCGGGGTGTTGGGGACTTGTAGGTAGTCGAGCGCCTTCTTCAGCTTGTCCTCCGGCAACCGCTCGAGTCCGGCGCGGACGACGGCGAGCGCGCTGTCGACGTCTTCGAATTGGTGGAATTTTCGGATCTGAAAATACAAAGATACAAACATGATATTTGATCTTGCAGGATTTCCGAAGATTTTTCGGTACTGGACTGTTAGCGGGGGGGGGCTTTTTAGAGGGGGAACGAAATTTTTCCCTGATCCTCTACGGCCCTATAAAAAATATACACCATTTTTCTAGCATTTTCCATCATTTTAGTCCTAAAAAACAATACAAATATTCAACAATTCTAGATTTTTGGTCAAAAATCTATGAAAAACGACAAAAAGTTACATTTTCACATTTTCAAAATTTTTCAAAATATTTTTGAACTTTCTAGTAATCAAAAACTACTAAAAACACTATAAAAATACATAATATATCGTCAAAAATAGGTATATAGCTGGAAAAACAAAAAGTTATTTTCTCACCCCGCTAAAATCCGCCCCCCCCCGCTAACGGTCCAGCACCGATTTTTCGGGGCTAGAACGGAGCGCTAACACCCCCTTCTTCCCTGTTCAAATCATCTGTAAACAGGTATGCAGACGGGTGTCCCCCTAAAGCTTATCGTCCCCCCACCGGGCGGCTTCCCCCTGTTTTGCCGCCCTCGAATCGGACCACCTGGCCCGAGCCCGGGGGATAGCAGATTCTGCTGGAGATAACAGGGTTAATGGGGGGCGCGTGCCATGTTTTCCGGAAAATTGCTCTGGGCATCACTAGCAGGAAGGGGAGGATGGGGATGACCAGTCAGAGGGAGCGGGA